ATACAGTTTTTGAACTTGTCCATTTTTATGCCTTTTAGTCCTTCTGTCATTTTTTGTTTCACCTCTTCCACATCGGCAAAATACTTCCCTTTGAGAACTTTTTTCATCTGGGGAAACAAAAATCACATGGGGCGAGAATGGGTGAATAGGGAGGGTGGGGCATGGGAGTCGCACCATTTTTGGACAAAACCTGTTGAACGCTCAGCACGATGTGGGTAGGTGCGTTCATAAATCACCCATCATGAACTGGACAAATGCATTGAAAGAATCTCCAAAAGAAAAAAAAAAGTTCAGTAAAGCCAAATGCAGCCTCTCACAACAGTAGCTGGTATACTGATGCCAATGAGTTCCTAGAATGCTTACCTAGTAGAGGAAGCCTGTACTTCAAGGAGCCCACCCTCCAAAAGGTAATTCCATTTTCTTGGGTCCCCCTCTTATACCTCATAAGGTTGATATGAAAATTATTCATGTGAAACATGAAAAATAGTGCTGACAGACAGTGTAAGTGATTATCATTTCAGCAGCAGCAAGAATCATCTAGAGCAGTAGTCCCCAACCTTTTTAGCATCAGGGACCAGTTTCATGGAAGACACAAACGGGGCGGGGAGGGAGAGATGAATATGCAAACCTCACTGCTAATTACCACCTCAGCTCCGTCTCAGTCCAACAGGCATTAGATTCTCATAAGGACGGCACAACTTAGCTCCCTCATATGCTCAGTTCACAACAGGGTTGATGCTCCCATAAGAATCTAATGCCCTCGATGACCTGACAGCAGACAACCCCTACTTGCCTGCCACTCAACTCCTGCTGTACGGTCAGTTCCTAAAAGGCCACACACTGGAACCAGTCCATGGCCCAGGAGACCCCTGATCTAGAGGATCCTGAAAACCATGGCAACATATGGAAGTCCCTTAGGGAAAAAAGAAGGCTAGTACTGAACCCTAGGAAAATCAACATGTACAATTCAGACAGAGGAAAAGGCATCAGCAAAGGCTTCTCAGAAGGAAGAATCAGATTGGTAGGAGGAAAACCAGGAATGTGTAATAACATAAGAGCCCAAAGAAAAAGGTTTTCAATAAGGCAAATATGGTCTGTGGTGTTGTGTGTTGCTGAGATGAAAACAGATGTGCTGATTTGATCTGGCCTTAAGGTTACTGCTGACCCTAACAATCATAAATTGAAAAGAAAATTTTCCATCAAGTAGAGCCATCTTGTGCTGGCTTTTGAGAGTTCTGGAAATAAATCAGAGCAGAGACACAAGGCAATAGATGGACGTGGATACAAGGGAGGGAGGTTTCACCATAAATCTTGTTTTAAAGAGAGGAATAAAAACTTTCATAAAAAGTATGGCCTACCCGAATACATGGCAGATGAAGGAGCACACTTTGTCATCAGTTCTCATTAGGGTTCAACTCAACTGTTTTCCCTATGGGCTGTAAATGGTTCAAGGGAAGAGGTGGCTGTCTTATTCATCTCTGTTCCCCAGCTCAGACCTTGATTAGAAGGACAGAGAGTCCGGGCCTGGTGGCTCATACCTAAAACTCCAGCACTTTGGGAGGCTGAGGCAAGAGGATTGCCTGAGTCCAGGGATTCGAGATCAGCCTCGGCAACATGGTGAGACCTCATCTCTACAATAAATCAAAAAACTAGTCGGGCATGATAGGGCGTGCCTATAGTTCCAGCTATTTAGAAGGCTGAGGCAGAAGGATCACCTGAGCCTAGCAGGTCGAGGCTGCAGTGGCTGAGTGTGCTACTGCACTCCAGCCTGGGTGACAGAGTGAGACTCCTATGTAAAAAAACAAAAAAAAGGGATGGCAGAAGGGCATTTAGGATATATAAAGATAAACTCATCTTTCCCTTGGCATGGATATTTTTCCCAATTTTTCTATTTCTGGTAATAATACTTCACATAAATCCCTATAAGACTTTCCCAAAGGAGATACAGCCTCCGAAGAATATGGGTCCACTAAAATTAAGTCCAGGATGGATCTTCTCCTGCTGGAGATCCCAGACATGCAAGGAGGCCCTGACTTACAATTGCACCATTAGGCCCAGGAGAGCTGATGGGAAGCCTAATGGGCTCCATCTCTGTGAAAAAAAGCTGAGTACAGATCCTCATTACAAACTTCCTGGCTGGTCTCTCCTACATGCAATCAACTCTACACACCTCTACTTGATTCCTCTTATCACCAAGACTCTTAAAATATCTAGGAAATCCTAGATTTCCTGCCACAGATTAGATCAAACTCAACTCCTTACTTTGGGAAGATAACAACCCCAATACAAACCCCCATACTAATCCTTCTCCCAGTCTCCTTCTCATGTTGCCCTTCTGTCCATCCCTGGTTCTGTATTTATGTAGCTCCATTCTTTTGTCAATCTAAACTATAAACTACAGTTCAAATTCCACTTTTCCAACAGATTCCTCTGCTGAATTTTGACTCAGAATTATCTTTGTGTATGTTATATCACACAATGTCACACTTAATTATGCTACCTTATAAATAATTCAAAGAACAGAAATAATAAATTTTTAGTCTCATAACTACTCTTTTTTTTTTTTTTTTGAGTTGGAGTCTCACTCTGTTGCCCAGACTGGAGTGCAATGGCACGATCCCGGCCACTGCAGTCTCGACCTGCTGGGCTCCAGAGATCCTCCCGCCTCAGCCTTCCAAGTAGCTGGAACTACAGGTGCACGCTACCACGCCTGGCTAATTTTTTGATTTACTGTAGAGACGAGGTTTCGCCAAGTTGCCCAGGCAGGTCTCAAACCCGCGGGCTCAGGCAATCCACTTACCTCGGCCTCCCAAAGCGCGGGATTACAGGCTGAGCCACCAAGTCCAGCCACAACTACTCTTTAATAAAGCTTTCTGAAGCAAGAATTCTGTTCTTCTTGTTCTTCTTCTAGTCCTGACAGCTAGATATGGTAGGCACTTAACAATGTCACCTAGGATGATATACTGTTATCTCTACGACACTACCTGATTAGTCATTTATGGACTGAATTTCCGAGTGTGGTCCCTAGTCTAACTTGTTTGTATCAGTTTCCTCACATGCTTTCCCAGAAACCTATGCCTGCAGAGACAGACTACCTTCATTGTTTCATGAAATGAGAAGCCTTATATCCCACTGAAACTTTACTAATAGTCGTCTCTCTCTCTCTCTCTCTCTCTCTCTCTCACTCTCTCTCTCTCTCTCTCTCTCTCTCTCTCTCTCTCTCTCTCTCTTTAGGACTTGTTTTTTTGAGTCAGAGTTTCACTATGTTGCCCAGGCTGGAGTGCAGTGGCATGCTTATGGCCACTGCAGCCTCGATCTGCTGGGGTTAGGTGATCCTTCCACCTCAGTCTTCCAAGTAATTGGAAATACAGGCATGCACTATCACGCCTGGCTAAGTTTTTGATTTATTGCAGAGATGAGGTCTCCCCAAGTTGCTCAGGCTGGTCTCGAACTCATGGGCTCAGGTAATTCTCTCACCTCTGCCTCCCAAAGTGCTGGGATTATAGGTGTGAGCCACTGTGCCCAGTCTTTTTTTCAAAAATATTTTATTTTAAAGATGTGGGATATAATTCAGAATTAGGTATACAAGCTATTAATAGTCTTAATAGATAAGTCTATCCACACCTCTGTGATATCCTGAAGATGAACAATTAGAAAAGATAAAAGAGTCAAGCAATTTTAAAATTAAAATTTCAACACAAGCTGGGTATGATGGCATACACCTGTACTCCTAGCTACTTGGGAGGCTGAGGCAGGATGACTGTTTGACCCCAAGAGTCTGAGACCAACCTGGGCAGTACAGTAAGACCTCATCTCACTAAAAATTTTAAATACAATTTTTCTCCAGTACACTTATATTTTTCAACTTTTCTGTAAATCTAAAATTATTTCAAAATAAAAAGTTAAAAAACTTTTTCCAACATAGGTGCAAGTCAGAAAACCCAATTAACCAAAACTTATCCTATTTTCAAGCAACACCAAAACAATCTTAAGAGATCTCACTGCATAAATGGTTTATTCAAGGCTTCCAAAAGTGATCACTTTTTTAAAAAAATTAAAAGGTAGATTTATTAAGGGAAAGATATATTGTGGAGAGCACAATGGGCAGGAAAACATGAGACTGTCTGCTGTCTATTGCCAGGTGATCACTTTTAACAGGCTTCCTAAGAAGTATTTTAGATTTTTTAATTCATTTACACTGTGTCCAAAGATGAAAAGTACAGAATGAGCTGGGCATGGTGACTCACATGAGCATAGTGGCTCCCAGCACTTTGGGAGGCTGAGGTGAGAGGATTGCCTGAGCCCAGGAGTTTGAGACCAGCCTGGGCAACTTGGCAAGACTTCGTCTCTACATAAAAAAGAACAAAAAAGCAGGGCATGGTGGCACACACCTGTTGTTCCAGCTGCTTAGAAGGCTGAAGTGGAAGGATCACCTGAACCCAGCAGGCCAAGGCTGCGGTGGCCGTGAGCGTGCCACTCACTGCACTTCAGCCTGGGTGAAAGAGTGAGACTCTGACTGACACACACACACACACACACACACACACATACACACACAAGTACAGAATGAACAATCTCACAGCCTCTCTGTATGAGTTTACAGTCAGTGTACTCAACTATATCCACTTACTTGTGAAACAAGGAAGCAGTTGCTAGGATGTAGATAATACTTGGGGTGTCCCATTTATCTCTACCTTTAACTTTACTCTTCCTAAAAAGAGATTACAGAAGAAGAGCCCCATGCACCAAAACCCAAAGCCTCTCTCCAAAACCCCAAAGCAGTTACTGGTTATCTCATTTACCTCCAGGTACCAGAATAAAAGCTTCTGCCTGCTGCATAGCTTCACCAGTTGCTTCTCCCCCACTTTCCCCAAAGACTAAATACAGTATCACTGTAAGACTAACACCATAGCAGTAAACAAGCCAGCCGTTGCCTAGCAAGCTATATGTTACACTGGGCCCTGAGGGAGCCCGTTGACCTACAGATAAGTCTCACTTACTGAACAAGTAACCTGGAGCTGCTGCTGCTGCTGCTGCGGTGGTGGTGTCTGTTCCTGGGGAGTCTGCTGCTGCGGCTGCTGCTGGGGATCCCATATATGGACAGTCTGAGCAGTATTCTGGTATGTGCCTGCCACAGCCTGCACAGCCACTGGAATGTGGATGTTGCCATTCATGAACTGTGCTGGAAAGAGAGAGTTTGCAAGGGTCTGCACTACCTCTTCATGGGAGTTTTTCACTACAGACGTGGTGCCCACCATCTTCTCCTTGTCATCCTCCAGCTTTACAGCGGCCAGGGCTGTAGGTGAGCCACTGACGTGAACTGCGTTGTAGGCTTCCTGGGGAATGGCAATGTGGGTAATGCTTTGCTGCTGAGGGTCCCCCCGGGGCTGGGCAGAATAAACAGGGATGGTCCAGGTTTCTCCTGTAGGGCTAGTAATGGTCCCAGTGGCACTATACAGGTGGGCACTGTCTACTGTCAGTAAATCTGGCCTCAAAGACACATAACTCTGCTGCTGGCCCTGTGGAATGGCCAGCACGGTGGCCACCGGCTGCCCTGAGATGGCGTAGGACACAGTGATGGGCATGTCCACTTTGCGTTTCTTCACTGGTTGGAGGACACTGGCTGTGCCAACCCGCCGCTCCCCTTCCCGGGGTGAGCCCTGCTGGGATGGTGGTGGGGAAAGGGCACCCACAGTCTGGATTTGGATCTGCTGACCCCCAGCAAGAGACTGGCCAGCCACCAGCTGAGCCTGGATTTGCTGATGTGGGATGTGCTCCTCCGGGATTTCTGCTGCTTGGATCTGCTGGGCTGCTTGCACGTGCTGCACCTGGATCTGGGCCGCTTGCAGCTGTGAAGGACTGGGGCTCTGCAGAGACGGCGTCTGGATGGAGGGGGCTGCTGACTGTGGTGCCTGGCCCTGGATCTGGACCTGAACCTGGATGGGCTGCTCCGCAGGCTGGTGAACGGTGAGTTGCGGGGAGAGCTGCTGAGCTGAGACCTGCTGCGGAGACTGCTGTACCTGTACCTGTACCTGCAAGCAATAAGAGTCACTAGTGAATGAGCCAGGCAGCATCAAGAATACAGCCCCCATGAAAATAAGAGATATGGGAGAAAGGCCCTACATAATATAAGGAAGAGGGGCTGCCATACCCAAGGCTTCAGAGCAGCCCACAATTCCCCAAACCTAATGCAGAATTCTCCAGCATCACACTGCAATCACAGTGACACAAATCGACCCCAGGAAGCAAGCAAGACAATCAACTGGAGTCCAAGAAGGAAATGTCAGAACTTTTGTCTTTCTTTTTTCTTTTGAGTTGGAGTCTCACTCTGTCGCCCAGACTGGAGTGCAGTGGCCGCTTCCGGCCACTGCAGCATCGACCTGCTGGGCTCCAGTGATCCTTCCGCCTCAGTCTTCCAAGTAGCCGAAATTACAGGCATACATCACCACGCCCGGCTGATTTTTTTATTTATTGTAGAGATGGGGTCTCGCTGCCCAGGCGGGTCTCAAACCCGCGGGCTCAGGCAATCCACTCACCTCAGCCTCCCAAAGGCGTGGGATTACAGGCTTTTCGTTTTTCTTAACTCTTCTTTGAACATGCACTCCTTTTTTTTTTTTACATGTTGGTATGGTATTACGAATATTATAACTTATAAATATGCATTTAGATGTATACGTAAAAATATTTTATTCAGGAGGTAAGTTATAAAAGTGTGGGAACCACTGTACTAAAAGGTTAGAAAAAAAGATATATTCTACATTTGATTACCAGCTGTCTGACTCAGGATCAAAACTATCTCTCAGCATGAAGAACAAGTAAAAAAACATGGTAAAGACAAGGCTCTTAAAATCTCTCGAGTTCTCACAACTCACATTAACCATAAAACCCTGGGCTCAAGAGATCCTCCAGCCTCAGGATGCCAAGTAGCTAGGACTACAGGTGTGCACCACCACAACCAGCTAATTTTTAAATTGTTTGTGGAGAAGGGGTCTCACTATGATCATCAGGCTGATCTCAAACTCCAGACCTCAAGAGATTCTCCTGCCTTGGTTGACCTGCCAAAGCACTGGGATTTCAGGCATAAGCCATCATCCCAGCCTGATTCTTTAGAGTGCTTATTTAAAATATATTTGTTTTCACGAAAAAGGCACTTTTTAAAAACACAGAATCCTGATATTTTAATCTGAGCAATGCTACAATCTGTATCTTGGATCACACATTTCTGATAATAATGCAGCTCATGTCTCATTATTTCTTCATGCAAAGTAGCAAGAAAAGATAGCACATACAGTATGCAAGTTAAAAAAAGAAAAGCTTTTACCATCAGACACACATTTAAATTACCCTAACCAGAGACAGGAATTAAGAAGGTAGAGCCCGGGCGAGGTGACTCAGCCTATAAACCCCGCGCTTTGGGAGGCCAAGGCAAGAGGACTGCCTGAGCCCAGGGGTTCAAGATCAGCCTGGGCAACTTGGTGAGACCTCATCTCTACAATAAATCACAAACCAGCTGGGCACGGTGGCATGCATCTGTAGTTCCAGCTACTTAAAAGGTTGAGGTGGAAAGATTGCCTAAGCCCAGCAGGTAAAGGTTGCCGTGGCCGTGAGCATGCCACTGCACTCCAACCTGGGTGACAAGTGAGACTCCAACACACACACACACACAAAAAAAAAGAAGGTAGAAAATGCTGGGTGTGGTTGCTCATACGTATAATCCCAGCACTTTGGGAGGTAGAGGCGAGAAGATTGCTTAAACCCACAGGTTCAAGATCAGCCTGGACAACACAGTGAGACCTTGTCTCTACAATAAACCAAAAAATAAGCTGGGTATGATGGTGCATGTCTGTAGTTCCAGCTACTTGGAAGGCTAAGGTCGAAGGATTGCCTGAGCCCAGCAGGTCGAGGCTGCAGTGGCTCTGAGCATGCAAACTGTACTCCAGCCTGGGCAACAGAGTGAGACTCTGACTTTAAAAAAAAAAAAAGGGTAGAAAACAAGAAGGCAGATGAGGTCATATATCTATCCAGCAATAGAAGACATGTAACAGAAGATAACCAAAAATGATGCTAGAACAACTGGATATCCAGTTGGACTTCTTCCTCATATCACATACATACAAATGGGACCTCTTCCTCATATCATATACATAAAGTTGGACCTCTTCCTCATATCATATACATACAAATGGGAAAGAATGTGAAGACATTTCTTCAAATAACATATGCAAATGGCCAATAAGCACGTGAAAAGTTGCTCAACATCACTAGCTATCAAGGAAATGCAAAGGAAGACCATAATAAGATACCACTTTATACCTAATAAGATGGCTATGATGAAAAAAGACAAATAATAACAAGTATTCATGAGAATGTGGACAAATTAGAATGGTGGGAATGTAAAATTGGTGTAATCACTTAGGAAAGTACTCTGGAAATTCCTTAAAAGGTTAAAAATATCATATGATAAACAAATCATAGGACCTAGCAATTTCACTCCTAGGTATATACCCAAGAGAAATAAAGACCTGTGTTCAAACAAAACCTTGTACACAAATGTTCATAGCAGTACTCTTCATATAATTGCCAAAACACAGAAACCCAAATGCCCATCAATTGATGAATGAATAAATAAAATGTGGTTTATCAATCCAACAGTCAGGCACAGTGGCTCACATCTGTAATTCCAGCAGTCTGGGAGGCCAAAGCAGGAGGATTACTTGAGCCCAGGAGTTCAAGACCAGCCTGGGTAACATAGCAAAATCTCATTTCTACAAAAAAAAAAAAATTAAAAATTAGCTAGGTGTAGTGGTATATGCCTGTAGTCCCAGCTACTCTGGAGGCTGAGGCTGAGGCTGTGGTGAGCTATGATCATGCCACTGTACTCCAGCCTGGGCAACCAAGTGACACTTGACTCAAAACAAAACAAAACAAACAAAAAAGGAATTATTTGGCAATAAAAAGAAATGTTGATATATGCTACAACATAGATGAACACTAAAAACATGTGCCAAGTAAAGTCAATCATAGAGGACCACATACTATATGATTCTGTTTATATAAAATATCCCAAATGGGATATTTGGGAAAGTAGATTAATAGTTGCCTAGGAGGGAGGGATGAAGGGGTTTAGGGAGGAGGGTTGCGGGGGATAAATGGAGTGACTGCTAATAAACATGAAGTTTCTTTTTGCGGTAATAAACCAGTCCTAAAATTGATGTGACGACAGTTGCACAACTCTGTAAATATACTGAATACCACTGAATTGTACATTTCAAATGGCAGAATTATATGATACTTGAATTATATTTCAATAAAACTGTTACTAAGCAAAAGAAAAAAAAGTAAGTTGTATAAAGAGAACACAGGCTTTGAGATCAAAGAATTGACTGACGTTGCACTTTCCTGGCTATGAATCCATGAGCAAAACCTCTACGTGTCAGCTTCTTCAGGTATAATAAAAAGGAAGAACATGTCTACTTTCTTATGAGTCATTGTGGGCATGAAATATTTAATGGCATATAACGGATGCTCAAAAAAGTAAGTTTTATTTCTTTCTTCTCTCCATGGAGTAAAATAATATTCCTTTACACCAGTGGTTCTCAAAATGTAGTTCCCAAGCCAACACTATCAGTACCACCCTGGCACTTGTTAGAAATGCAAATTCTGCCAGACGCGGGAGCTCATGCCTGCAACTCTAGTACTTTGTGAGGCCAAGGCCAGAGGATTGCTTGAGCCCAGGAGTTCAACACCAGGCTGAGAGACACAATGAGATTTCATCTCTATGAAAAAAAATTTTGTTTAAAGTTAGCTTGGTATGGTGGCATGCGCCTGTAGAAGTCACAGCTACTCAGGAGGCTGAGGAGTACCACCTGAGCCCAGGTAAGTCATGATCACACCACTCACCGTACTCTAGTCTAGGCAACAGAGTGAGACCATGACTCAACTTAAAAAAAAAAAACCCAAAAAGCATACCAATTCGCACTTTCTACCTCAGACCTATGGAATCAGAAACTTTAGGAAGTGAGCACAGCAATCTATGTTTTATCAAGTCGTTCAGTGTAAACACATGCGCAAGTTTGAGAACCAGTGATTTACAAAGATGTCATGAAAACTATGTACACCAACTACTGTAGAACATCAGTTTTCAAGCTTTTTGGTCAAAGTTTGAATTTGGGCTGGTTGTGGTGTGGTGGCTTATGACTATAATCCCAGCACTTTTGGAGGCTGAGATGGGAGAATCGCTTGAGGCCAAGAGTTGGAGACAGACTGGGCAACATAATGAAACCCTATATCTACAAAAATATTTAAGAAAAAAATTAGCCAGGCCCGGTGGCTCAGCCTGTAATCCCAGTGCTTTGGGAGGCTGAGGTGAGTGGACTGCCTGAGTCCGCAGGTTCAAGACCCAACTGGGCAACTTGGTGAGACCTCATCTCTACAATAAATCAAAAATTAGCCGGGCATGGTAGCACTCCTGTAGTTACAGCTACTTGGAAGGCTGAGGCAGAAGGATCGCTAGAGCCCAGCAGGTCAAGGCTGCGGTGGCCGGGAGCGTGCCACTGCACTCCAGTCTGGGCAACAGAGTGAGACTCCAACTCAAAAAAAAAATAAAAATAAATAAAAATTAAAAATTAGCTGGGTATGGTGGCATGCATTTACAGTCCCAACTACTCGGGAGGCTGAGGCAGGATGATCACTTGAGCCCACGTGCTTGAGGCTGCAGTGAGCAGGGATCCTACCATTGTACTCCCACTCTAAAAGAGATAAATAAATAATAAAAATTTTTTTAAGTCGTTTTTTTAAAGCTTGAATTTGGTTAAAAAATTGAGGATGGCCCCAAAGAGCTTTTGTTAACATGTATTACAACTATCAATATTTACCTGTATTAGAAATTAAAACTAGGAAGTTTTAACAATATTAATTCATTTAAAAAATCACATAAAGCAAGCCGGGTGCGGTGGCTCACGCTTGTAACCCCAGCACTTTGGGAGGCTGAGGCAGGAGAATTCCCTGAGATCAGGAGTTCAAAATCAGCCTT